ATATATATATATATATATATATATATAAGATTCAACTGGACTTAGTATATGTAAAATTCAAGTAGAATTTTATGTATGTAAGATTCACGTAGACTTATATATATGTAAGATTCAAGAGGACTTATGTATATGTAAGATTCAAGTAGACTTATACATATGTAAGATTCAAGTAGACTTATATATATATATGTAAGATTCAAGTAGACATATATATGTAAGATTCACGTAGACTTATAAATATGTAAGATTCAAGTAGTCTTAAATATAAGATTCAAGTGGACTTATATATAATTAAGATTCACGTAGACTTATATATATATATGTAAGATTCACGTAGACTTATATATACGTAAGATTCACGTAGACTTATATATATGTAAGATTCACGTAGACTTATATATATGTAAGATTCACGTAGACTTAAATATATGCAAGATTCAAGTAGACTTAAATATATGTAAGATTCAGGTAGACTTAAATATATGTAAGATTCACGTAGACTTATATATATATATATATATATATATATATATATATATATATATATATATATATATATATATAAGATTAAAGTAGACTTATATATATATAAGATTCAAATAGGCTTATATATACGTAAGATTCACGTAGACTTATATATATGTAAGATTCACGTAGACTTATATATATGTAAGATTCACGTAGACTTAAATATATGCAAGATTCACTCAGACTTATATAAATATATATATATTTAAGATTCAAATGGACTTATATATATATAAGATTCAAGTAGACATATATATGTAAGATTCAAGTAGACTTAAATATATGTAAGATTCAAGTGGACTTATATATATGTAAGATACATGTAGACTTAAATATATGTAAGATTCAAGTGACTTATATATATAATATTCACGTAGACTTATATATATGTAAGATTCAAGTGAACTTAAATATATGTAAGATTCAAATAGACTTAAATATATGTAAGATTCAAGTGGACTTATATATATGTAAGATACATGTAGACTTATATATATGTAAGATTCAAACTTATATATATGTAATATTCACGTAGACTTATATATATGTAAGATTCAAGTGAACTTAAATATATGTAAGATTCAAGTAGACTTAAATATATAAGATTCAAGTGGACTTATATATATATAAGATACATGTATATATATATGTAAGATTCATACTTATATATATATGTAATATTCACGTAGACTTATATATATGTAAGATTCAAGTGAACTTAAATATATATAAGATTCAAATAGACTTAAATATATGTAAGATTCAAGTGGACTTATATATATGTAAGATACATGTAGACTTATATATATATATGTAAGATTCAAGTGGACTTAAATATATGTAAGATTCAAGTAGACTTAAATATATGTAAGATTCAAGTGGAATTATATATATGTAAGATACATGTATTACATATATGTAAGATTCAAGTGGACTTATATATATGTAATATTCACGTAGACTTATATATATGTAAGATTCAAGTGAACTTAAATATATGTAAGATTCAAGTAGACTTAAATATATGTAAGATTCAAGTGGACTTATATATATGTAAGATACATGTAGACTTATATATATGTAAGATTCAAGTGAACTTAAATATATGTAAGATTCAAGTAGACTTAAATATATGTAAGATTCAAGTGGACTTATATATATGTAAGATACATGTAGACTTATATATATGTAAGATTCAAGTGGACTTAAATATATGTAAGATTCAAGTAGACTTAAATATATGTAAGATTCAAGTGGACTTATATATATGTAAGATACATGTAGACTTAAATATATGTAAGATTCAAGTGGACTTATATATATGTAATATTCACGTAGACTTATATATATGTAAGATTCAAGTGAACTTAAATATATGTAAGATTCAAGTAGACTTAAATATATGTAAGATTCAGGTGGACTTATATATATGTAAGATTCAAGTAGACTTAAATATATGTAAGATTCAAGTGAACTTAAATATATGTAAGATTCAAGTAGACTTAAATATATGTAAGATTCATCACGACGTAGTGAAACAACTGACTTTGTAGCTGACCTAGCAATGGATTCAATATAACATTTCCAATTCATGCCAGCCGTGAATCTTAGTCTATAAGGCGCAATAAGTCACCCTACTTCTTTAACCATTTTCAAGGGGTTCTGTTTTTGGTTTTGTTAGTTGTTTCTCATATTTTTGACTTTTGTTTTGTTTTGTTTTGTTTTGAATAGTAGAGTTTATTCTGAACGTTTGAGCGCGGCTAGAATTCGTGTTAGCCTCATTCTATTTTAAAAAAAATTAACACTCCATTTCCACTGTTAAGTAAGGTGAGGTTGATAGTAGGAGAGAGATGTTTAATATACAGGGCCTCTCTTAGCAGTAGAACCCGGCGTTGCCCGGGGATGTAACAGTAAGAGTTGGGGACGGCTGTTGCTTTGAAAGATGTGCTTTGTAAGTCGACAGGAATTAAGTTTCTACAAAACGTTGAAACGCAATGCACACAAAGTTTAAGCAGACATCATGCAGGGTCAAGTATTCGAAGGTATCGAAGGAAGTAACAGAAAGCCGTTGGAGCATCAGTCATTTGCCATTACTAAGACATCTGTGAGTAAAAACTGACAGCAGTTACTGCTTTAACCAATTGGATCGTTAAGCATTACTGGAAGCACTTGTGGTAAGTAATCAAGTAACCACGATTCAGTTGCAACATACATAGGTATTGAAGGGGAAACGTGCCGTGAGGAAGCCATAGACATAAAGTATGTGCCGTGCGCAATCCTAAACAAACCGCTTGTCTAACAAAAAGACGCGTTTTATGCACAAAAGACGGCGCTGCCACGACCACAAAGCAGAATCGTAAAACCGAGAGAAGAGCGAACAGTGACGGGGTGTCATGCTAAGAAAAATTCTGTGATATAACTTCCTTTATTCTGATCTGTCACTATCTACATCGCTGCTGAGAGCCCTTAAAAGCGCAACGGGGTAGCCGTAAGGCCGAGCATCGTAATTGCAATGGAGAAGTTCCATCTCTTCAGTCGCAGTCAACATCACGCTGAGAACTCATGTAACCGTACCGGGTTTGCCGTACGGCCGAGCGTCTCAATTGCAATGAAAAAGTGCCTTCTCTTCAGTCGCAGTCAACATCACGGCTGAGAGCTTATGAAAACCGACCTGGGTCGCCGTACTTGGCGTTTGTTTTTAGTTTTTTTTACACGACTACGAACAAAACAATAGAGCCGTATGGTTGACATGTTTCACCCATGGCAGCCGTAAAGTGCATATGGAAGCAGAAGCCTGAATTTCATAGAAACACTCGACTTTTGTGACAATTAAACGAACTCCGAAGCTTCTCAGGTGTGAATGTGCTTGTATGCACTGGTACGAACTGCAGGTGCTCCAATCAACTGTTAATGAAACCGGAACTTTAGTGGAGCAATCATGTCTAATGCCGGTGTTCATGTGTCTAGCAGCTTGTGTTGCAACTGAATACGGTGAGGTTATCATAGTGTACAAACAAACACGATGATGGCGGGTGAAGGTATGAAAGTCAGAAGGCAGCAAAAGAGGTGGATAACCTTTACAAATATGTCTTAGTAATGGCAAATGGAGACTACGACGACCTAACGTTAAAACCAATATGGCAAACAAAAAATTTGCCATGCAATCGGACTGCATATGTGTGCATGGCGCTTAAACGATACCGGCGGGTTGTCTACAGGACCTCCGTGTAGGTTATGTTTCTAGCACAGTTGTTGTGAGAGTAAATGAAAACCCTGTCCTTAGACCCAACTCGTGAGCACCCAACGTAAAGTTGGCCGTGAGAGAAGCACTGCTCACGTAAATGCAGACCTGCGGTGCTAAGCGTCTGTCCTTGTGATTTGTTAATGGACATAGCAAAGCAAATCTTCACGGGAAATTGTAAGCGATGAAAGTTGATTGGTATGCTTACGTCGACGGCAGAAGATGCATGCTGGGAATCAGAACGACTTCCCCCTTACCGCAGCCAGTTGCAATGGTCGCCTCAATCAGGTTCGGAGAAAGGGATTTAATAATGAGGCGAGTCCCGTTGCACTGTTTAGGTGGGAGCAAATTCCTGAAGAATATGATGTGGGAGTCCGGACGGCTGAAGGGAGTTCAAAACTTCTATGGGATACTCGGCTAATTCAGATGGATCGGAAGTTCTGTCGATGGACATATAAACATGACATTGCCCGGGAATGCAATCCAACAGTTTAAGGTTGATGGAATCAACTGTACAGTTCTTCGGTGCCAATATGGTCCTCCCAGCAAGCCAGTCGGCATCGGCAAACTTAGATGATAGGTTGTAGAAGACTGCATTCATCAATTCATCCGGTGATTCAACAGTGGTGGCAAGCTGATCCATCTTCACAAAACCGTGTGTGTCAGATGGCATTTTCCCCTCCCCAAGAGCAAGAAGGTCCGGTGCGAAGTCAGCGGATCTGGAGTCCCCATTCAAGTAGGTACGCATGTTCGTGCTCAGTCTCAGAGTGGCGCCAAAGGGCAGACGACTTCAGACAGGCGCGGACAGCGTCAGCGCGTGTACCTTTAGGAATAACAGGTAGAGTCTGCCTAAAGTCGCCTGCGAGGAGAAGGGTTACTCCACCCATGGGGTCGGAGGAGTCGCGGATGTCTTTGAGACTTCGGTCAAGTGCCTCAAGGGCGCCCTTGTGTGCCATCGTGCACTCATCCCAAACTATAAGTTTGCATCTCCGCAGAACTTCAGCCTGTGGCGAATTCTTTGTTATGTTGCAGAGAGGAGTTTGTGACCGGCATAGATCAAGCGGCAACCTAAAAGCCGAATGAGCGGTTCTACCTCCCGGTAGCAACGTTGCAGCAATTCCGGAAGATGCGACTGCAATAGTGATCTCCCCACGACGCCGTACCTCTGCCAGGACTAATTTGGTAACAAAAGTTTTGCCAGTTCCTCCGGGCGCATCTAAAAAGTATATACCTCCATTGGAGCCGTTTGCCTTGTCTGTTATGGTAGTGAAAGCAACCCTCTGATCAGGTAGAAGTTTGGGCTCGTTTTCGGTAATGTATGCGTTCAGCCCCTCGATGGAGTAGGATGTTTCCCGCAATAACTCAGTTGGTACAGTGTCAAAACCGTCTCTGAGCGGTGGTGGTAAACCGTAAGTTGGTAAAGAGGTACCTCCCAGTTCGAAAACATCTTCTAGGGCCACCAGCTCTCTGTTGAATATGAAGTCAGTGAAACCGCATTCAACTCCTGGGCTGTTACGCTGAACGTAGAACAGCTCATCCTGTGACATGGATTCTCTGTACTTTAGCCAGAGCGACAGACGATCGCTTAGTTCGCATCGCAAAAGCAAAATGACGAACAGCGTTCGAAGTCGTGATGGCGTTCTGAGAAGTTCCCCATGGCTGCATCCCATTGGGAGTCGTCTTCAAGCCATCCCAAACGGAAGCATGCCTTTCTATAAGACTGGCACTCTATATGCCGTTGACAGTGCGAATATCTGTGAAACTCGTTGGCCCAGCAATTTCATGAAGTAGAAGGCGGAGGTAAAAGCACTTCTGCTGGCTGGAGGGAGTGGGGGCACAGTATAAACGCGTCCAAGGCGAGAGTTAGACCTTACATCGGGATAATCCTCGACAGGGTCGCCAGCCTTTCACCGAACCCACCGGTTGTTTGACCACACGTAGTAGGACGGGACTTGGGGGTATATCAATGTTTTGGCAAAAGCATCTGTTGAGCATAATTTAAAGAAACCCGTTAGGGTTGTGTCCTTAGGGTTTTCCGCAACCTGCTGGGCGTTTTGTTCGGTGAAGTACATCCTCTGTCCATTTTCTAAGTGAACAGCAAGCTGCACAATGGCTGGAGCCCTTTGGTGTATGGGGAAATCCAAAAATTCGCCAAAAGGCCTCGCTACTGCTGAGGTAGTGTCCAGCCACGTAATCGGCCACCTCGTCAACGCAATTGTCGCGCCGGATATCGAAAACAGCAGCATCGCTGCCTTTATTAACGTACTTGCAGATGTACTTTATTGACTTAACCGAGTGGCAGTATTCAACGTTTATGTGGGCTCCAAAAGTCTTGGACAACAGCGGGCAATAAGGCACCACCCAACGATTGTCCAGAGTGTGTCCTTAACTGTGACAGTTCTGCCGCCCTCAGCGGGGCTTCTACGTCTGTACAGCGGGTAACCATCCGTCGCAGTCTTCGTTTATGAGTTAAACTTACGGGGGTAACCCTTTGCGCAAGTGGGGCCGCTTGACCAACATAACCTTTTTTCGTAATTCGCGCCACAAGGGCCATGTATCATATTGCTTTTAATGATTTCGTAGAGCAAAGGCAGGATCCGGAATTTCAGCAGAAATAAAATCGTCTATTTTGTTTGCGTCAACTTTATCGTTGAGCCACATCAGAATGTGGACATGAGGCAAACCGCGTTTCTACCATTCCACTGTATACATATGACACTTGACGCGTGCGAAGATTTTGATTTCGTGCAAAAACAATTGTGTTTTTCCAATTTTTTGCGCTGTCAGAACCACTGCCCATATATGAACACACACACAAACTGCGTTTTATAATAAGTAAGATATATATATATACATATATTAAGAATTGGACAAAGTCCGACAATTTATTAAAGACATTTTTATGTTTAACATTCTTTTTATAGATACAAGTATTTAAGTAAATGCTCTGTTTATAATAAACAGTATTAAATAACATTTACCGGCCTGAATGTCCGAGAAATTTTCATAGAAAATATTCGTCCTTTGACAGGATTCGAACCTGCATCCTATACGAAACTGTCATTTATGCTGACGTGCCTTAACCGACTCGGCCACAAAGGAGCGATCGGTATGCAAGGTCGAATTTACTGCTTATAAACCTTTGTCTTTAATATATATATATATATATATATATATATTGGAGAGGCCCTGTATATTAAACATCTCTCTTTCTCCCTCTCTCTATCCCTCCCTCTCCCCTCCCTCTCTCTCTCTCTCTCTCTCTCTCTATATATATATATATATATATCGTATATTTATGTAGAAAGTGTTCGTTCAAACACGTTTGATTAAATTTACACGACAATGTCTGTCTAAACAGACATTTTCGGCTAAATTTAATCAACCTTTTTTATTGCATTTTTCCAAGTTTCGTATAAGATGTATATTGGGATGAACTTTCCGAAAATCATGTTTGTTCTGTTGTTTTCGTTCAAGTGCTTTCGACCGTGTGTCAGACATTATCAAAAAACATGTGCTGTCCGTGTAGTAGATATGATTCCGTTGGTTACTACCTCGTATTTTATAGAGAACTGAGTGTTTAAAATCGCCCACAGTGACGTCACTTGACCCATCTTTTTCACTGTTGTTGAAGAGTCGTGCATTTTTTTTCCCGTTGGAAATCCGAACACTAAAAATAATACCCTGGATTTTAGTCCTGAAAGCGTCCTTGGCATCGATATATCGATTTCGCGAGTTATCGCTCCTTTCGGCGGTAGAAAACCGCATGAAGATTCTCTCGATAGAGTAAATTTTAACACTAATCTACAATTCTTAAGATCCATGATTACTTTCTTGCCTTTCCACAATCTTCTGACTTACATGGATTCAATGAGGAGGGGCTTTGGTGATGTTGCGCATGATTTAAAATCCAGACCGCTATTCTGGTAATCTTGAGGTCCAATTTTAGTTCAGCAGTTATATTTTGCGTATGGATATTGTTAGGTCCTTTGTAATGTTGTTTTTGAAGGTTTTAATGAAATCCCATTTCTTTTTCATTACGCTGCTGCCTGACTTACTCTGCAGTTTACCCATACCTATAGCCTTCTTGACGCAAATATACACAAACTATGTTGGCTCCGTTTTAAAAGTCAATTTTTGTGTCCAAAGCAAAACAGACGCTTTTAGGCGTTTGTTCTTCTCGGAAAAAAGACATTCTTCTTGCCCCGATGTTAATGGTAATATTAACTGTTACCCTATAAGGAAACATTTGGTATTCAACTTTCAGCCAGTACGGCTTTAGGTTGAAATTTATAAAATCTTTCTCTTTCAATTTTTTTAAGAAAACAAGTTCCTCAACTCAAGTATTTGTTATTGCTCTTTCCAGTACTGATGGGGGGGGGTCCTTCCCAACCTTTTGTTTGAAGTAGTGTGGAAGATAAACATTTTGATTATGTCATTATTTTCTCTTCCGGTTACACGTGCTATCCATTTTAGATGTTACTGCTTTTGGTAGTCCTCAAGTGATGTGGCTTCTCCCATTTGGTACAGTTCTCTGTTTGAAGCAAGGCACTAAAAGCCAACTAGGATAAAAGGGGTTACTGAGAGTGAAAGAAACGGAGAGGACAATAAAAGAACAGGATTCAGAGAAACATAAAATGACGATTGACGTTGTATTTAGATTTTTGAAGATCATAGTTGGCGGGAAAGCAATAAGGCACAAGTGACAAGTGCGGTAGAAGAAAATATGAGTATGGAATTTAATTTCAGAACAATTTCCATGAAAATATTTATAGAAAAGGCACAGTGAAGGTATTGATAGCTGACAATATACACTGATTTGCATTTGAAGCCGAAACGGAAGCTCAGGACCAATAATATTGCTGATACTTCTTTGGATTTTATCACGAGTCTCTCTCTCTATATATATAGTAGGAGCAACGGGCCATATGTGGCAGTAATATTCTAAGCATGGACGAATGGTAGACTTATAGATATGTAAGATAGAGTCTGGTGAGAAAAATTGTCTTAGCAGGAAAGCAAGAGTCAGCGAGGCATTTATTATACAGTTTAACTTGAGAGAGAACAGGAGCCAGTATCTATTTCTAAAAATGGGAGTATTTGCTGTACCCTGATATCCATGTCTTCTTTCCTGCCATCACACATGTACCTCGAAGACACCTGCTTTGGTGCCTACATAAGCCAGTCCTTGACACTAGCCGCTCGTCAATGCCGAAGAAATGAGAAATATTTTTTCTGATATAGCAATGCTTGTTCTTCTTTGTAGTTCGTTCTTGATGTATGAATTGCATTCCTTTGATATATGTTCCTCCGTTTTGATATATTTCTTTCATGTTATATACAAGAGGGTGCTGAAATTTTTCGACCAAACCTATCCTCCCCTCCATTTTCTTTTTAAGCTTTTCAACCCAAGCAAGGTGGGAGTGCCACTAGCACTCAAGGGGTTAGAGAAAGTGAGAGCAAGAGTAAAGAGGCGTGGAAGAGGAAAGAATGAAGAGAATGACGGGGAATATATCAAGGCATCTGGAGATGTCGATTGACATTGCATTTTGATAGTTGGAGATTATAGCTATCTGAGAAGCAAGTAAGAGGAAGGGAGTTCCACAGACCGGGAGTGCGAGACATGAAGCTATTGGAGTAGAAGAGCCGGCTACATTTAACCATTTCGACAGTGAAAGGATGGGACTGAGTTGCCGACTTAGTGGCAAATTTAAATTCCTGCAGTTTGGGAACTAGCAAAAATAGCTCGTCGGAGCAGTTACCGTAAAAGTATTTGTAGAAAAGACAGGAGGAGGGGACGGAACGTCTGTGAGAGAGCGACTGTAAACGAGATGCCAGATCATGGCCAACCGCATTGTATATCTGTCTCTGGGTTTTGTTGAGGGCCCTAAGACGAACAGCGGAGGTTCCAGACCGTATATAACAGCAATATTCCATGCAAGGGCGAGTGGTTGATTTATAGATTTGAAGGATAGACTCGGGTGGGAGAAACTTTGTGACTTTTTGCGACACATAGAACCAACTTTATTTGCGATAGATGAAGCTACTGATTCAATGTAATTGTTCCATCTCGGATCAGCGAACAGCGTGAGACCAAGCAGTCGCAAAGAGGTGCTCTCGTGGAATTGAGCATCAGAAATTCTAATGGGAGGCAGAGGTGTTTCTCTGTGGTGGGTAATAGAGTGAAGTTTTGAAAAAAAAAACAGCGTTTAGTCATTTTATCAGATATTAGGAAGTGAGTCATGCTGAGGACTACAACATAACGACCAAATGTCTCAAGCATGTGCAAGAATTACTAGCTCCAGTAGAATTTGAATCAACTTCAGTTGAAATTTACTAATCCAGTACCTATACTGGGAGCAAACCGTCTGCATACAGATAGAAAATGAATTCAATAAATATACAAAAATAGAACGGAGTGTAAGACAAGGATGTAACTTCTCACCGGACTTATTCAACCTATACAGCGAGGCGATTTTGAGAGAATTAGAAGTCTTACCAGGATTCATTATTGGCAGCCATGTAATCGTCAAAAACTCTCCAAGACTTCTAACACAACAGCTGATCGATGAAGATCGCTACGGTCTCAGATCTGCTCTATCCCACGTTGTCATTCAAGTTTGATCATAAGGAGGCCAAGATCGAATCGTCGCAGGTATCTTCGTGTTAG